GTCAGCCATCGAATTTACGGCAATCGAGAAGATCTTGATCGAAAGCATCTGTAAGGCGGCGAAGTGTGTAAGATGACAGGCCCGAATGATGATCATTTGCGGAGTCTTACCGCAAGGGCACAAGCATCAGGATGATGTTCGAGCTCCTTCCACCAGTCGGCCGTGCCCTTATTCTCATCCTGCAGCCTATTGAAAGGCCATTGATTGGGAGCGTACGCTAACGGCTGACGTCGAAGCTCCTCCGCCACATGCTGGGCTCCCAGCTCAATGATGAACGACTTGCAGGACTCCTTTGGCTCGAGCTCAACTTCGGCCTTTAGAAGCACCTTTAAGAATGCCTTGACACGCCGGTATGCAGTGGGGTAGGGAGTCTGTAGGCTGTCGTCTGGTGTGGGACGCGCAGGCAGCATGTTGTGAAATAAATATCTGAAGGCCCTTCATCAATAAATTGGTTGTATCGCCGATTCAAAATCCCAAGCGCTATCACATTAGGTAGCTCAAGTCGACGACGTTCAGCGATATAACAGCTGCAGTACTATATGAAACATACTGGTGAGTTCGCATGCTTGTATGCCTTTGCTGCACCGGCGCTTAGGTCGGCTATCCACTTGTCTAGCAAAGCGGCATCCTCCTTTGTAACATTTGATACCCATACACCAAGGACGGCCATCACAGCGCATATATACCTTCCATGTTCCATGACAGGTGCAAACCCATGCTGAACCCGTGCGCCGAATCCGAACGCACACTCGAGCTCACAGTTGACAGTTGATGGCACCTCCAATGCTTCCAATATCCTCGACCACTTCTGAGGGCGGCATATAACCTGCAGCTGCCTCAAAGCAAGTAAACTTGGTCTCCGTTGCCTCCGAAGGGTACGGGAGATTTTTTGGAAGCTTTTCCAATAGGATTCGAAGCCTCTGAATGGTGCACTGACGGTCTGCCACCGCGCTAGGCAACGAGATAACAAGATGAGGAGAAGACACTGCACGTCAGGGTGCGAAAATGAAATCTCAGCACGCTCAGGAACCTATGTCGTGATTGCATGGCGAGGTTGGAATAGCGTACTCGGCACGGCGGATATATTCTGCCATTATCGAGCGGACTTCCGCACGGCGTCGGCCAATAGCCGTATTTGGTGTGTTGACGTCGGCCTGCATCACTTTGCCGACCCCTCCCCCCCGGAGTTTCTCACACTTTCTCACCGGGTCAAATACCCCCTCGAGTTTCTCACCGTTATAAACATGTTATTAACCGTGTGAAAAACACTGTGTTTATAACACATGCCTTCCTCACCGTACACTAGTGCCGCAGCTGAGACGATCTGGCTCCCTAGGGCGATTGTGGACGTCTATAGAGCTACCAAAGACTCTGGGCCGCACAGGTGTGGCAGAAAGTGCGCTATTGGAAGATTTCCAGTGCACACTGGAGGATGTTGAAGATCGGATGCTCTGGGGCTCAATCTCCATATTCGTCCCGTCTCAGGATGCTCACGAGCACCGTCAGAACGTGTATGGGAAGAAGAGCAAGTTGCAGTTCGTGGGTCACAAGGTCTACTTGGGCGCTGAGCGTGATGTTACTGTGTTGAAGAGCAGAACGACGAGGCCGTACGTGAGCAGCGATCATGCACCACTCAAGCCAACGGATTTTTGCAACGTCTGGCAGAAGCTCGTACGTCTACTTCGCTTTTTGGACAACTTGCGCTCACACAGATGTCAGAACTGATGGTGGCAAGAAGATATTTTGTAAAGACGCAAGCCAGGAGGATATGCCCACGCTTCCGTCGCTCAATCATGCTCACGACCCCTTGGCACCACTCCTTCCCAGCTCGCAAAAGACACCAGCCCAGATTCTGCCAGATGTGAAAGCTGTCGAGATGCATGCCAGTTCGCCATTGCAGAGCATCTCGAACAAGCATTCCATTGACGTTGGTGTGGACATCGACAACATATTCCGGATGTACTCGACAACCCTGAGCGCAGGCTTTACGAAGTGTAAAAAACACATGCAGAGATAATGTCCCAGAGCGATGCGCAGACGTAGGTGCTCGTTTTGTTCATGGACGTGTCCACATCGTACTCACTCTGTTTCGCAGCGCCGAGTGCGTCGCAAGTCAAGTCCACCCGACGAGCCGAACAAGCAGCCGCGCTCCGAGGCTTTCAGGCCACGCGGGCCTTTTGCGCTCAGCTGCGAAGAAACACGGCGAGCGGGCGATGGCAATTTTACAATGCAAACACATCGCTGCTGGTATCGGCGTTCCC